TATATTCTGTAGTAGGCTTAATACTGTCTATATATGTTTGTGTGTTTTACATGAAACAGCTTAAATACAGTGACTGTAGGGCAAATACCATGAGACTGAATTTAAGGGGAGAATAAATGATATTTTATTCACCAAGCAAATACTGTTTTGGATTACATGGTTGTTAAATGCTAACAATAGTGGAGATGAGAAGAGCTGCAGATTTTGTAACAGGGTTTAAATTTCTCTCACGCTTGGAGATGTGTGATTTCATTTTCTGATATGGTAACTTGTCTCCTGGCAAAAGCAGTTTATAATACCTTTTCCCAGTATACGCACAACTTTTCCATGGTGTAAAAATCCACTCCAGGTAGAAAATACAAATTTACGGTTTTGATACTTGATGCAGATAAGCTGTGTTTGAATGTGATATAGTTGAATTTATTTTTAAAGCATAGCCTTTAAATTTAGTGGAAAGCGAATTTTTAATGAAATAGAAACTGTTCTTTTAAAACCTGTACAGGTTCCTGTATTCACTTGTCTTCTAAAAAAAAAAAAAATCACTGTTCAGTTTGTTTCTGGGTTTTGTTTTTTTCCTTTCCCTTCCCCCTTCTCAATCTTCTGTAATTATGTTTGTTCTTCAGATACACAATGCTTTGTGAATTTCAGTATATTTTCATTAACCAGAGGTCAGGTTTCTTGCAAGTTGATGAATTCAGTATATTGCATGTGTGCTGAAGATTGAGTAACAATCAACTTCTTGTCTTGCTGTTAAGGACATTGAAATAAGATGAAGCAGACTTCCCAACTTTTACTTTCATTCCAGCTATTCTAACTCTTTCCATGCATGCATGTAAGAAAATCTGCATGTCATGAGGTCAGAGATATTTGCGATTGTAAAATTGGGCTGTTCTTGCCTCTTGAGATAAGATGAATTTATTTCATGATGGTTTTTAAAGTATCACTAATTTACTTTTAGAAACATTTGCGCTACTACTGGTATCTAAATTTAGCACTTCTGTGGTCAAGTTATACTTCAAATATTTTTGTCCAATGTGATTTACTTGATTTAGTGAAGCGTCTGTCAAGAATGTGTTTTTATTATGTGGGTAATATTTCATTGCTTCTGAATAGCTAATTTTTAGAGCAGACTTTAACGAATGTTAACTGAGTACTTTTTGAAGGTATGGTAGCATAGTGAAAACCAATGTACTTCTCAGATACTTGTGAAATTTAACTTACCGAAGTGACTATGAAAGACAGTAATCAATAGAGATTTTCTTAGAGTGTAGACTAAACGTTATGCTTATTCAGAGAGTCTTCATTTGAAATCGTTTACAAAAAGTGAGTGTTAAAGAGCGTGATGCTTTCTGAACATTTTGTAGCAGAATGTGGAACAATACAATATTAAAAGTTTTATTTTATTTAAAATATTTAACAGTGTAAATGTTTTAACTTTGTATAAATAAACCAGCATTTTTATAACACTTTTTTTCTGTAGGGTGGAGAGCGTCCAAAAATAAGTCTCCAAGTTTCTCTCTATCTTCTTTCTCAAGTAAGTATTTTAAGTATTTTGTCCTTTTTCAGAACATGTATTGCAGTAGTGTTATGATTTATCAATTAAATTTAAAAATTTTAAAAAAAAGCTAGATTATTTTCTTTTTATGGATAGACGAAACAGCTTCTTGTTTGAGTTAATATCATTCTCCTGAGGATTCCATACCACAAGATAGTCTTTACAGCATTCAGTGGTTATGGTTGATGTATACCACCTGACAAGTGGTGCATAAGAGAGCCATGCAACATGCTAGGACAGAATTTAGTAAAATTGCAGGTGAAATTTAGGTAAATGCTGTATTGCACTTTGAATCTGCCCAAGCTATGGAAGATTCTAGATCTGAATTTTCCTCTTTGAGAAATAGAGGGACTGATGAGCTCATGTGGTTTGTTTGGGTGGTTGTGTTGTTGTTGTTGCTTTGAAAAAAGGAAACAAACAAACTCCAAAACCCCCCAAAAAACAGTACCACTAAAACCTCAAACTTTCTCACAATTTGAATTTCATGATGTGTATATCTTAAATCTGTAATTGAGTACTTGTTACTACTTATTCTTACCAATCCTACCTCCTTTTGTTTCTGGCACTTATTTTCAAGTGAAGAGAATTTTAGAGTGGATTTTAATTTTTTTTTTTAAATTGTAGAGCAAAATAATATTTTTTTCCCTGTAGTCTTCAGTGCATTGCTATGTCAATAGTTTTCTTAAATTATGTTCTCTGAAAATAGTTTTGACTTGTATTCATAGAACTTATACTTTTTTTTCTTTGAATGTATGATTTTACATTAGTCATTTTATTATGGACTGGCCCATAATTTCATCATCTTTTTTTTAAGAACTCTTCCAAAAAATGTGATTCCCCCCCCTCAGGCTAATACAATTTGATGCTTCTTAATTTAAACCTAAAAAATTGTGGTGATGTGGGAGTTATTTACCACAGATAAAACCTTAGGAGCAACAGCTTTTTGTAACTCAAGGGATCTGCATCATAGAGTTATATATGTTGACCTCTTTTAACCTCTTTGATTTCAGCAGAAGTATTGGCTAGCTGTCACTTCAAGATTTGCATCTATGTTCTTTGTTGTTTTTAATAAAGAAGATGAAACTTTTTTCCTAACCGTAAAAAACTGGAAACACATTTTGTGTATCAGAATGGGATGTGATGTGGGAAATTAAGCTACTTTTTCTGTAACTGACAGAAATGCATCTTTTTCCACCTCTTTTGACTAGAGTCTGTCTTTGATGAAGTGGGATCTGAAAAAGTATACAATGAGTATCCGAGAAACCTTCTTAACTATTTCAATTACTGATACCAGGCATACACTTTAGGCATTACTTATATATTGGAGACAAGTGCTTGAAAGACTAGTACTAGTTCACAAAGTGAACGTGTAACGTACTTATGCCAAAACATGCCTGTATATAGTTGAGCTACACTTTCTGAATTAGAAGCAGCTTAAGTGATTTGTGAGACTGTTCAAAGTATTTCTGAAGTGTGTTGTGACTTTCCGAAGTTTTGCATAGGTCACCAGTGCATGCTAATAGTCACTTCACTTTTGAAGGCCTGGAATGGTTCTGACTTTAATCAGAAAACCTGTGGAGATCATGTTCAGCTAAATATTATCGAAACAATGTTTAGGTTTACTGATTTTATAAAGTATTTGGGGATTTTTTCAACTAGAACCACTGTTTAGGGATCCAGCTTTGATATAACCTGACATAAGGCTATTGCTAACCTGAGCTGGTTCTGTCCAGAAGCCGATTGTTTGCTGGCCCAACCTTGGAAGCCTTGTCACAAAATAGAGTGGTTAGTGTAAACAGAGAACTCTGTTAAAGCACCGAAGCACTTCTGGATAAGTGCTTTAATGATATAGCTGGTATGGCCCCTTTTCCTGTGTTATGTAGCTGCTTTGTAGCTAGACCATAATTCGTTGCAATTTCATAGCCAGAAAAGCTGCTTCTGATCCAGTTCTGCCTATTGCATGACATTTACTCATGAATCACTGCGAAGTGGCTGCATGCACAGCACAGAACTTACTGGAATCCTGCCAGTTGTTGACATGTGAGAAGGTCAGTGGACGCTGTGTACCATAATCAGTTTGTGTAGTTTCTCAAAAAAACCAATTTTCTGGAGCAGTTTTAATTTGGGTTTTTTTGGTAGGATATTATACAACTTCCATCTCAAAGCTGATGAGGAGAGAGAATTTACATTTCTCAGGAGGAGGGAAGAGTATGGAGAATTATTAAAACTGGGTAGCTTAAAATGTAGAGAAAGGTCAAATAGCTGTAGAGAGGTTTATGGTCTCCTGTATTTTGAAGTAGATTTCATTAACTATCAGGGTTACCAATTGTATTTTACTGTATATGTAAACAAGATACCAGTTTAACAAGGTCAAAGAAGTATGTTCAGTGACTGAAACTGTGAAACTGAGTGTATTCTGTAATATATGTCTGATGTTTCTTTCCACCCTTCTTTTAATAGGTTTTTCTAATTATACATTACGCCCCTTTGGTGAACTCATTGGCTGAGGTTATACTTAATGGTGACCTCTCGGTGTTTTCTTCTAAAGTTGAGCAAGATATACAAACAAACTCGGTAAGTGGCCAACTAATCTTTAACATTTCTTTTTTAGAGGCAAAGAAAATACTTGAAAAACAAAATCAGATATCCAGAAACTGGTAAGCTAAGGTGATTGTGTTTAGGAGAGAAGAGCAGCAATAGGATATTTCAGCTTTTGTTGTTGGACACGATAGCAGAAAGATGCTCCATGCTACTTATTGTATTATGTTCTTGTCAGAGTGGCAGTATTTTTGTGCATGCATATGTATTCTGGGTAGTGGTATAAGAATGTGTAGGACACAAATTAGAATACTTAAGTTTCTTCTGTGGGGGTCAGACACTGCAAAGGCTTCCGTCATTTTGATAGGACATTTTTGTAATCTAGTCTTCTGCGTTCAGGTTTTATCAGCTCTTTGATAGTGACATAGAAATGAGTCATCACAACTTTTCTGTGAAATTGTTTCCTTACCCAACTTGTGGTAGAAATGAGAGACGTAGGAAAAATACCTGGCCTTATGGTAAAACCTTTGGATACAGAAGGAAATAAAGATTTTTTTTTCATCTGAATATTCCCAGTGTTTTAGCAGTAACACTGATCATCTATGAAAAGTGTGCATCAGCGTGCATTAGGGAATGTAGACCAGCCATAAATAAATGGGAGTGCTGTCACTTTGTCATTGCCCTTCTACCTTCAGATTTAATCCTGTTTAGATGTTGCTAGATGTTGTTTAAGTCTGTCACGTATATGATTTTTTGCCTTTTGTTGTGGGTTTCACAGCTTGTGAAATGTTTGCTTGTTACTTTTTAAAGGCCTATTTGGGGATGGTAATAAGAAGGGATATGACTTTGCTTTCATTAAGAGGCTTCTGACTGTAGTTCTGTCTAAAGATTGAACACGTCCCCTAATGTCTGACTGGTCAGCAAAGAGTTACTGACTGAATGTTTAATTTATAACAAGCAGTAGATTGGTTCATATGCACATTCTTTCCCAGCAGTGGCTGTAGCTTTGAGAGTTTCAAGGGGGAGATATGCGTCAACTCTTCCATGATACAAGTCAACTTTTCCAAATTTCTTCCTACTGTGCAGTGAAAGCTGTGTGGGCTGATCTTAGCCAGTAGCTTTTGGGTTCTGGTAGTTTGTACTGTTGGCCTTGATATTTAGAACCTAATATTTTTTAGAAAAAACTACAGTGGAATGGTTGAGCTGACTGAATGCTTTAAGATAAAGCAATCTCTTACTTGTGTTAGCAAATATCTGACCACCTGCTAGCTGCATACTGAATGTCGTGTGTGTTACTTGTGCAGAAGCAGCTTTGTTACTAGGAAATTTGTGGTGAGAAGGTGGGGCACCAGTTGTTGCAGAAGTGAGATTTTTTTTTTTCCTGTCATAGTTACTCTACAGAGTTGCAAAATATCTGTAGCATATGTTTGAGTGCTTGCAGTAATGTTAGAAATACTAGGGGTTTCCTATAAACTTCTGTTCATCTATTCTCTTATGTTTGTAATACTATTTAGCTTGCTGCCTCTTACTGATCTTAAAAGTGTGTCCTCATGGTATGTAAACTGATAGTTCTGTCAGAACCTGAACAGGTAGTAGATAGGAGGAGTATTGGCTTTTTAGGATAGACACTTAGTGAAACTGCTGTAGGTGGAGCTTTGTTACAGGGAGGGCAGAGCAGTGGCACTTTGGTGGATGAGGAAAAAACATTCCATGGGAGAAACTTTAGTTATTAGCAAATGCAATGACATTCGTCAGTGAAAGCTTGGAGGGGAAAACCTGTACTGTCAGAAAACCTGCCAGTGAAGGTTGGTTATTTGCAGAAAGAGTGGGGAGTCATCTTCAGCTGAAGAGCTCCATGCCCTACTTCCAGGGAGGGGAGCTATCAAGTGAGCTGCTCTCAGTTGATGAGTATGAACTACTGCATATATTACATGGTGTTTTCTACTGATACACAATTCAATGCAGTGATGCTAAAGTCAGCTGTAGATACGGAGGCATAGACAAGTAAAGGTGAGGCAGTTTCTTGTTGCTTTGTGATAGGACTTGTTAGAGCAGAAGGTTGAATTTTGAGCATTGTTAGCCATTTCAGGGGCTGTTCTTTTGACTCTTAAGATGTAACAGGTTCATTGCAAAGTTACTTCTGTCATGCATTCTGTTGCAAAGAAATGACAAACTTCTGTTGAATAAGGGAAGCTATTTCAGAAGGTACTTTAGAACTGCTTGTTCTGGGGTTACTAGAGAAAAGTGATGAGCAAGTTTTTTAACTTTTTTGACTGAGTTTAGAATTGTGTTTGTTCTTAAGTCAGACCCAAATTCATCTTTTACTACTTCCTTTCTGTTATAATTTCCCATGGTAATCATTCTGATACTCTCCTAAGCTGCTTGTTTTGGGGATATCTCTGTGTGTTATGGTGAGCCACAGTTATCTCTAAACCTCTGCTCTGTACCTAACACTGTTCATCTCTTGTAACTGAGATGTCTTGATATATTTAAATCGAAGTGTAACTGTCATTTTCTAACTACATATAGTTTCTAAAACCCAAAGTAAGTAGAACCTCTAAATTCATCTTCCTAATGAGAATAATTAAAGTGGAATGAGGTATAGAGAGTATGGAATGAAATTAGCAGAAGCAGGGTCACATGTCCTCATGATAGGAGACTAAATGAATAAAGAATACTTAACAAAAATAAAAGCTGAGAAGGGTTGCAGTTGCTGCATATAAATGCAACATATCCAGAGTTATTTAGGGCAAAAGAACAATGGTACTTGTCATGACAGGAACAAATGATACTTTTTACTAGAAATCAATTTGTGGAAAAAATCACCAGCAGCTATCACTGCTGATAGCTTGTGAATTGACAATTAGCTACCCATGGAGATCTGCTGAACATCATAGGGCAGTAATGATTGCCCAGCCTCTGTTGAACAGGTTCTTTACCTGAAAGTTTTTTTCCCTGTGTTTCTGTTTTTAGGTGGCATCAGAAGACATACTAACTCTTATCCCATGATGAGAGTTGAATATGTACAGCCAACAGAATGTATTTAAACTTGTTAGCAGTCATTGCACTAAGGTTTACCTTACTTCCTGTGAGATCTGCTTTCCCGCAGAATTCGGATGTGGTCCAGTTCTACCTATTTCATTTTCTTGGTTTCGTCTTTAACCTACTTTCTCTTTCCTGTAAAAGTTGTTACTGGTATTGCCTTGTTTTACTAGCACACATTGCACAAGATAAACCACAATTAAAAATATGGTTGAAAGACATTTTATAAGTATGAAACAGCAGTGTCTCAAACTGTATAATCAACTTAGATAAACCGTATGCTATGTAAATTAATTTTAAGTCTGCTTTTTAGAATTTTTAAAATATATAACCTAGTTATATTTAGCAGAACAGAATGTATATGTTGACTTTTTCTTGGCATTCTTTCTCGAGGTGGACTAGAGCATGGTGGACCAGTGCTTAATGGGCACATCACTGTCTACTGGTCTGTTCTGTTATTTTGCTTATATGGCTAAGAGCATATTAGAAATGCAAGGGTGTTAAGTACATGCATCCTTCATAAAGAAAGTAGCTACAAGATTCTAGGACGCAATTGTAAGAAGTGAATGCAGGAATGGGAAAATGCATTATGCAACTTGCATGCTACTTTTCTTTTTTCCTTAAAGAATAGAACTTAACGTGTTCTTCCCTTTTCTTATGACTTCTGGCCAGAAGCCATCAATAAAAGGTAATCTGGTTGTAACTCTGGTTGTTTTATAATCTTCCTATATTGCAGTTTGATCAGACTAAAAATATATCAGAGAGGTTACTGGGGGACATAAGTGTGATAAATTTCACATTGTGGGTTTTTTTGGTATTGTGAAAGATTCTTCCTACTACATGGTTTGTTTCAGTGCCAAGTGTAAGGTGACTTATGCAAGATTTCTGAAAACCTTTTTAAAAAAGTCAGAAGATTCAGAGAAACTTTTTGGCTTTTTGATTTGTAGAAGGCTTCTTCCCAGATCTTTTCCTAATCTCTGTGGGTTTTTTTTAATGTATAGGTGTTCATTATTAAGCAAAGGGAGGAATTTTTCCAAACTTTTTCTCTGAGTTCTCTTTGCACTCATCTTCAATGCTTATTGTACTTGAGTCACCTTAAGCAAGGAATGGAATCAGTTTTGTATTTACTGTAGTCTTTAACCCTTTAGCCAGCGTCAGCTAAATGTGATTGAAGTATTGAGGCCTGAAAGGTAGTGAAGTTTCTGTAGCAGTCTTGTTCAGCATAAACCTGAGTTGGCAGGAAGCCCCCAAACCATGTATTTCACCTCTTGGTAACAGAGAGGTTTGGCCGATCAATGTTTATAGCGCTGGGTGAGAGACAGAGAGAGCATGTACTCTGGTAATCCCACTGGCAGGCCTAGCAAGTGAGAAGGGTTAAGCATCACAGCTCAGAAACAATCTGCAAAACTGTAGGAAACCAAGTTTTGTTAGTCCTGCTAGTCACAGAACTTCTTGTAGTGTCTTGTGTCTTTCTGTAAAAATACATTGTTCTCTGTTGTTAGGATGGCACAGACTTCTGGAGATACTTATTTCCTCTGGGAGGAATTTGTCATCTAAATGTATTTTCTTGCTCTGTAAATTAATAATCAGGAGAATCAGGTATTGTTTGAATACTGTTTGCCACCTTGTCCAAAACCAGTAGTTTGACTTGAAAGATAAAGCTCTGATACCTTTGGGTAGAGCACAAGTATATTGAAGTCTGACAAATGAAGTGGTGTTGGTTTTCTGGACTTGATAAGTCAATGTCTGGAGGCCCAAAAAAAGTCAATGTCAGTGCCATTTGTTCATAGTTGATACAAGGACTGGTATGCTGTTGAGGAAAGCTTGAGATTCAAAAAAAAGCTCGTGGCATAGAGCATTGATTTTTGTCCTTGCTACTGCCAAAGACATTTAAAGAGTGTATTCAATATTAATACATTGCTGTCAACATGCACTTTGGATGTTGCTGCCTTTATCATTTTTACAAAAGGCGTCTTAATTTTGTATGTACTAACTGTCTCACCTGTTAAGAAAGTTTAAAGAAGCGAAAAAATATAATGAGCTTCTATTGATCAAGTGGGTAGTTCTATATCTTCTTGTCTCAAGATGGCATACTTTTTAAATGATAGATCTTTAGGATGTGTTACTTTGGAGATAATTGTCCTACTGATGATTTGATACAACTTGAGGTCTGCTTTCTTTATTTTAATTTGGATTTGAGATTTGTAAGTAGTATGCTAATTTACATTCTAAAAATGCTCTTCTATATGAACTGAAGTTTCTTTATCAATTAGAGTTAAAATATCTTGCTATAACTCAGTGTAAACTCTTCAAATTTACAGGCAAAATCAAGTATCAGATGTTTCATAAAACCAACAGAAACACTTGAGAGATCTCTTGAAATTAACAAACAGAAGGGAAAGAAGAGGGTGCAGAAAAGACCCAACTATAAAAATGTTGGTGAAGAAGATGAAGAGGAGAGAGGATCTGAAGATAATCAAGATGACCTGGAAAAAACTAAAGGTACAGAAGCAAGTTCAAAGGGCATCAGAACAAGCAGTGAAAATGAAGGTGCGTATACCAGCAAATAAAAATGATGCTTGCAATTTGGATACTTTTATTTACTGGATGGACCTAGTTGTGATCTGTTATGTGACTTGTTTTCTTGTTACACTAGGAAAATGTGGGACTATTGAATTTGTTTCAATCTTTGGCTGTATTTTTTTTATCATGTTAAATCCTTCTGTCAGAACATGTACTTCTAATCTGATTAAAAACTACGAAAGTGTTTTCATATCTTCCTGTAGGCTTTACCCTTGTCACAGATGCATGCCTTGCACCTAGGTGTACATGATTATGGTGCACTTTAAAGTAGACTTCACAACTTTGTAACTTTACCTTCTGTGGTAAGGCAAATGGTGTAGCCACTTTTCCTTTTAAGATGGTTGGGAGTATTTTATGCATGTTTCAGTGATAAAATTCAACAAGTGTGCTAAAAGTGACAGTACATGGTAGAAGAAGATATTAAGTAGTTCAAAACTGAAGAAAACATCTATAGATTTTTTTTTTAATTGCGTGTTTTCAGGATTTTTGTTGTAAAGCTAACCTTAAGAATTGGTTTTATAGGATGAGGGGTCTTACAGCCTATTGTAACTGTTTATTTTACTAGTTAGTAAGTATTAGAAAGATGTATGTCAGAAGCTAGTCTTTACTTTAGACATACACAGAGAAAAATCTGGCAGAATTGCATGCAAGCAATGGAAACCAAAACCTTTATGCTTTGTCAGCACTCTCCAAACATAATTGCTTTTTGATTTAGGTAAACAGTCAGTTTGAGAAGACTTTCCTCAAATGGTGTCAAATAACTGATGATGTATTGTCTACTATGATTTGCAGAAAATATGACATGATCTGCTGTTTAAACTGGTGCATTTAGTAGTTGTCTTTGTCCAAATTCTTAAGCAAAAGCTAGATTTGGTCCTAATACTTAAAGCCAATAGGTAAAAAGCACTTGGGACCAGGTATCCTGTTTGCTGTAATTGTAGAGACCTGTTTACACCCTCTGTGAAACTTGATGTCCACCCGTGCCCCGATCTCACCAGCTTTTTCACAAAGAAATTTTTTTTCCAGAAAGAAGTTCTATGTTTTTTCTTCCTGTGGTTTGGAGGAGAGAGGGATTACTGTTGCCTGTTTATTTGCCAAAATAATCTGTATATTTTCTTTACACATATATGTATAATTTTCCTAAAGGAGTTAATTTCCTTAAAGAAATGTAAGCAAACTATTTTATTAGGAAGAAAATTTGCCTACATCTATTAATTCATTAATCTTTCCGAGGTTATGGTTATACCTGTTACATGTAGTTGAATCAGTCACTTTTAATGTGGAATGGAAAATATGAAAGAGCTTGTGATAACTGTTTGTTAAAAATACCAAATTTTGGTGTTTTTTGGTGTGTGGTTTTTTTTTTTTTAGAAATAGAGATGGTAATCATGGAGAGATGTAAACTATCAGAATTGTCTATCTCTACTGTGACAGAACAGAATACAACAGATGAAGAAAAGAGTGCAGCTGCCTCTGGGAGTGAGATAACAAACTGGAACAGGTATAAAGGAACTGTAATATATTTTGCTAGTTTACTCCATTAGTTGCCCTTCCGTTAACACTCTCACTTCTCTTAAGGGGTGTTTCAAATCTGCCTCCAATTAAAATTACAGACATTCTTGTGGATGACAAATAAGTGAGGCAACAGAAAAATGGGATATGGCCTCTCTACTGATCGGTTTTGGAAATGGTCCTGTTCCTTTGTAAAGTTCGTGCTTTCCTTTGTGGCAATTGTGGTGCCTTCAGTTGGTAAAGTTAAATTACAGAATATTAACACAATAAAACCAGAATGTAAATGTTTTCATTCTGGACTTTTCTAAACCTCTAAATTAAGCCAGAGGTTGTTTTTTTAATGATATTTATGGTCATATCTATAGGAAAAAAACAAGGAAAATTCCTCAGTTCAGGGCTGGATTTTGCAGAATTTTAGTAGTAGTAGTAGTTACGAATAAACCTTACTAACCTATGTACAGTTTCCAAGGTCCATTAGTATATCTCAGGGTTATTGAAAACTTCTCTTGGAAATGCAGTTTTTAAGTGTTTCTGGGAGCAGAAATTGCCTCAACTTAAAAATTTAAACTTGGATCTATAAAATATCCATAACATGCTTTCTCAGTAAGAATTTTGCGTTCTTGTTATTAGAGTGCTAAAGAAATGAAACTGAACATGCCATCTCTGACACAAAAGTAATTGCAAATATGTCCCTTGGGGAAATGCACATGTTTAATAGGATTTCAGATTTATTTTTAAACTTGGGAAATGCTGCCTGGTATTCCCAGAATTTCATTCTGTCTCCATTATAGCTTTGATGTAGCTTAGATCACATTGATTAATAAAGATAACATTTAATTTCATTATAAAAGTGAAATTGAACCTTGACTTGAACTGGCTTTAAAATACATTGTTCTAGATTATTGATATTTTGACTAAAATGTGTGCCAAATGCCTTTTAGAAAGAAGTTGGCAGTGACTACATTGAATACTAAAGCAACTGGGGATGCTCAGGTCTTAAAATGTGCAAAGTACTTACAGGTGAGATGTCAATGTATTTAGCAAATGTCTGCATTTCAGGATTCTTCTGATCTGTAGATATGATCTGACAGCATCCTGCATCTTTTCTAAAAATAAACAGCATCAAAGAACCTGCGGACCTAAAAATATTTTTAAAATAAGGTTAGACCTTGTGTAGGGCATTTCTGGCCTTAGTTTTGTACATGAATTTTTTGAAGTCTCAGTGGATAAGTTGCTATAGCTTAAGATTTTGTGTTATTCTATAAGCCAAATGTAGTATTTGAAACAGTAGCTAAATCTCTGAAGAAATTTGCTCAAGTAGGTATAGTTTCTTTCCTACACTGGTTGGAATCACAGAGTCTTGTGGATAAGATGAGCCACGTGGATAAGGTGCCATGTGGTAGTGGAAAATGCAGCGATCTTTTATTCCATGCTTGAAGTGGGAGAAACTTCCATAACTGGAGTAATCATTAATGATTGTGATGATAGTGATTCCTAATGTGTTGCAGTCTTCAATTGTGGACATACTCCACAAGAATAAGTAATTTGAAGAATACTTGTATGGGTTTTGATCTGTTTCTTCTATCAAGTCACTAGTAAAAGGATAGTAAAGGAAAAAAAATGCTTATGAGTTAAGAAATAAATTTGAAAATACTTGCCATATAGTATTTAATATTAAAAGTGGTTTTTAAAAATTGTATGATAGTTTTTGAAAAATGAATGGAAAACAGCACAGTTTGCAGTTTAAAATCTGTAGCTGTAAAAGGTAAGTCAAGCTTTCAATTTCCCTTAGCCTTTTTACTACTGTGAAGAACATAAAAGAGAAAGTTTAAGTATTTTTGGTGTAATTTTATTGTGATCTGACTCACTACTGGAAAGTTTAAGTCTAAAGGCTTGTTCTAAATTAACTTTCTTTTGTGATATGCTATGTAGCAAAGTTGTTTTTCAGTATGTGAAACCTTCATGCTACGTTGTGCCTTCTGTTGCTGCTTTCTTACAGCTGAAGTTTTTCTGGGTCTATCCTGTATTTAGTCTGTATGAGGACCTGTTGATGAACTTCCTAGAAGTTGTTTCGGCTTCAGATTATTGCGATTGAGACTCTGATAATGCAGATAGATGGATGCTGTGAAGAAGCATCTGGAATGAAAATTATTTCTCTCACTGCTGTAATCATATTTTTTTAAGTTATGTAATTTCACAAATCTAAGTAGTATGTCAGGGAAAAGCAATGAAAAATGCATTAGAGATTACAGAAGTCGTCTAATACCATGTAATATTGGTGTTAATGGAACAGCTACTGATATTTCTGCAGCTTTGACCTCCTAAACCATTGGTTTTAATACAATTAAAATAAATACTACTTTTACATCATAGGTCAGTTTTTAGGGTAATTACCATCTATTGGTCTGACAACAAACCTAGTGTTATCTAGCATTTAAGTATTTTAATAATCTTGAAAGCAGGTATCGTGGTTCTCTTTCTTCCATAGATCTTGAAGCTGAACTCCCTTCCCTGTTTGTAAAGCATCCTGTTTCAGAATGTCATGAGGCTTGTAGGGCTTGTTTAATGCTTAGGAAGACTGAAGGCACTCTTGGTTTATTTTCAATATTGCCAATTCTTTAGGCTGTTTTTGCTTGAATCTTTGTTGTCTTTTGAGATTTACAATAGGAACGTCGTGGGAAATTTTGACTTGAGTTTTGAGGTAGTCTTTTTTTTAATGTGACAATGATAGCAACTCCTTGAAGTTAACGTATGTATACGCTTAAAACAACCTGTACAGTGCTTCTGCATACATACTAAATGTGCTACAAACAACCCAGTAAATGTGTGAACAATCAATTCTTGGGACGATATTATGTAACAAATCCCATTAAAACATCAGAAATGATGTTAGAATGTAAATACAAGGCATGGCTATAATCTGAGTACTCTTAAACAGATTAATTTTTGTTTAATGCCTGAAAATGTGCATTACTGTAGATTTGCCGTTTCCATTAGCTACATGTAGAACAAGATAGTTAACTCATTTTTCTGTAGATATGGCCTTTTCCTTCTTAACCATTTAAAAATTACTCCTTTCCACAGGCCTTTTCTTGATATGGTCTATAATGCGCTGGACTGTGCTGAAGATGATTACTATGCCCTCTTTGTGCTCTGTCTTTTATATGCAATGTCACACAACAAAGGTAAGCAATTTTTGCTTTTTCCAGAGAAAACTAAATAGACATGTGATTTTAGACAAGCACAATCTGTTTGTAACTCATGTTTGTGCATGCCTTCAATGGTGAGAAATTATTTATGTGGTGGAGGCAGAAATAAGTATGCTGTAAGTAAAACAATTGCTAAGGATCACATTTTTAAGAATGATTTGGTAGAAAGCTTTGTAAACAACAGATAACTTTTCTTCCGTAGGTTTCTTGGAATTGGCATAGGATTATTGAGTTTCATTTTTAATATCTTAATTTCAGTTGAAGCCCACTATATTCAGTCTCCATATATATGGGATCCAGTTCTTTCCTACTTTGCATGTACTGTGATTGCTACATGTAAACCAAGTACAAAATGTTGTAAAACTTGTCCCCATATGTTAAAATTAAATCTTTGCATACTTTAAACATATAGATAATGCACACAGCCTGAGAATCAGATGTGATTATGGAAGTAATGTATTGCCTGTTTCTATCCAGCTTTGACAGTCCTTCAGTAATTTTATACTATGCAATTCCTCAACAGCTTTCTCATGCATTGTGCCATAATTGATTGAAAGCTTGTTGGAAGTTGTTGGTGTTCTGTGTTGTAATGCATCTTGCAAGTCTCCCAAGGAGCCTGGACTATTTTATAAACTAGCAAAACTATGCTAAATGTGTACTTCGTTATAATTCAGACATTATGAGAATAAGTAATCTTTTCTAAAGGATGATTATGATTAGCTTTTTTGCTATTTATCTTTTAAAATAGATTCCTTATGGAGCAATAATGTAAACATCTCATACATATGAATAATTGTATGTTTTGGGAATTGAGAGCTGAATTTAAGTTACTTTCTGCTTATGAGGATAGTTTCTATAACATACTAGTAATTTAAATGAATCAACTGCTACAGTAAACTGAGCAAAATAGCATCAGGTGTGATGGCATGCTTAAAAGTAAGATTCTGTTCTAGCTTCAAGGTACATCTAAAGGCAAGTAGAGTGGAAATGAGAGTGTTGAGGGAACTAGCTAAGCTGAGCCCCTCGTTTCCTCCATCCTCTCGATGGCCTTATCTTTTTCCAAGAATGAAGGAATTATTCTCTGAGATTATAATTTGCAGACAGTTTCAGGGCTTTCACAGTCTCTTATGACAAGAGATAATAATACAACCGATATCACCAAAGATAGCACTACAGCCTTGCGATGCTCTAGCCCTCTCTTACTGGCATCTTTGATTTCCCAACCCCTGCCCTGCAACCAGTATACTTCTTCCAGAACAAGTCTTTCCCCAAGGAACTTTTGAGCATCACTGTGCTAGAAAACGCTGATGTCACAGATGAATTCTCTTCTCTTAAAATTGATTAGTTGAAGCTGTGAATAGCTAAAGTAACTGTTTTAACTATTGCAGCTTCAGGGAGTCCCCAGAAGTCTTTCAACATCATTGTAAAGGAGTAAGCGTGCACTCTAGGATTGTATTTCTTAAGAATTCTTCTATTTAAGACCATAGGCCTTCAGCCTGCTGTATTTGCTTTCAGTGTAATTAGTCATTCTTCCTGTTCAGGAATATCCTGTTCCCAGGAAAAAAGTCTGATATCCTCCCTTGTTTCAAAGATGATTTGCTTACGTCTATAATACTGCTGTAAACAGTGAGGAATGAAGCAGATGCAACTTTTTGCTCCTTAGTCTGTTTATTTTTCACCCAATATTCAGGGTTACCAAGAGAAACAGGCAGTGAAATATCTACCTTTTAGGAGACTAAAAGTGTACTGGCCCTAAAACTGGAGATACCTGTTATGCCTTTAAGGGGTCAAAATCTACACTTCATTCTTTGGTAGTCACATTAACCCTCTCTAAATGAAAAATTCTTTAGGCTATGCTCATTGGCTTTCCTTGTCAACAATTTACGTTAGCCTGTTGCTCTTTGGAAGCTATTTTCCTTTCTCCCCACATCCTTGACCCTAGATCTTAGGTACTAAACAGATAATGACATACAGTTTTGGTCTTCACTGTCTTTCACCAACTCTTGTGCCCTGTAATAGGCTGCTTTCAACCTGGAGGGCCATGGAATGACTGCCTCTGTGTCTTGAAGAGGAAGGGTTTTACAAGCTGCTGATTTAATGTCCCTGTTTGATGCAAGAGCGGAAGGTTGTTCTTTAAAAGCTCAGGAGCTGTAGAGCTGCTCCTTTCTACACCAAATTCAGTATCAGTCGTGGAAGGTGCCTCAGGATTAGGCTGGAGCTAGTGTTTAGATCTGAATTCAGTGTAATGCAAGAGATCTGTCTGCTTACAGACTTTCTCAGGGTATGGGTCGGTGATCCTTTTCTTTTGTAAAAGTGCATGAAGGTCTCTCTCCAAACATGGAGAGGTCAAGTTGTTTTCCCAGTTTCAATAAGTAATAAATCTCTAGGAGTTCTGTGTTTAGGATATGATTATCTATTTACTGTCTTTCTGACAGAGATAGTAAAGGCTGTAGTGAGTGCTTGAATCAGTTCAAACAAACAAGTAGTGAGTTGGAAATTTAGGATGGTTTCTTGTGACTGAATGCAACACAAGCTTGTCCCCTCTACACCACAGGAAAATGAGTTGCGGTTTTCTATTTCAGTATATTGGCTGTTTCAGATATGTTTCTAATTCTTTAGCTGGTCAGGTTGAATTTCACCTTCCCCCTGCCCCCCCCACCCTGAGTGCTGCTCATTCTAGCACTGTGGAGGAGGCTACAACAGAACACATTTTAAAAAATCCAAATTGCCCTAGCTTAACCAAGCACTTTGATTTCAGACCTTGCTTCTAAGGGAGCAGCCTTCTCGGTCTCCGTCAGTAAATGTAGATGCCCTATTGAGGGTTTTGATCATGACTCCTTCCATTTGGATACCGAGTCTGCATTTTGCACTGTGTTCTTGAATGAGTTTAAAGAAAATATGCTTGATTTTCACCAGCAAGAAGTATCTGTGTGAACAGGAAGAAAGAATCCCAAGAGGTACATGTATGCAGCTAAACAGATCTGTTGTAAATGGTATCTGAGAGATCTTTAATCCCAGAAGGAGCCCTTCATATATGTTGCTAGAGCATGTACTGTCTCTCCAGAATGCAGAACTCTACATCCTTGGCAGGCAGACAACCAAATGAAAGGTGTTGAATATGAATTCTTTCACCGTGATTTCAATTTGACCACTTCATTGAGCACTTGCCTGATCTTGCCTCAGTCTTCCCCCATGTTTTCTTATTCTCCTTAATGGTTTTCTGCTGGTTAATGACCATCTCCTTCTGTGAGAGCTTAATCTGCACATAGATACTCTCTGAGAAATGTTACTCATAATCAGCTTTCCTTTCCAGAAGGAATACTGTAGCTCTTCACTAAACTGTCAGATTGTTGTGAATGCTGATACTCTGCCCTGGTTCCTTAAATGCTTCCTTCCTCCAACCCCCTTGCTTTGGTATTACCATGATGGAGAACATTCATATCACTGTCATTAATCTTCAAACAGACCTTTATTAATTGTTCAAAATACATATGCTTAGTGAAGAAATAAATCAGATGTCACAAGTGGCATTATTATGTAGAGTTAACTTACAAGTTCAGGGTTGGAAGAAACTATAAACTGCAATATAGTCATCTTCTGTTCTATGGGGTTGTTTATTACCATTCTTTAGAACAAGGACAGGAAAATCCTCAGCAGTCCATAAATGTGTTTTGTACTAAGAGGTCTTACAGTAACCAGTCTATTCTGAGAAATAACTTTACTGTTTTAGAGGAATAGGTTGAAGAAAGATGGGTTTAGTTTCCTTATACAAGTCATCAGTGAGAATCTATGATGTGTGCTGGGGAGGGTAGTGAATAAGAGGCTGTGACTTACAAAATAAAATTTCTTTTTTATAGAACATACATGAACTGATCGCTTGCTACCAAAGCAGAATTTAAAATCAAACTTTCATCTTTTCCCCTTTAGCCTTTATGCTCTTCAGATATATGGCTTGACTTTAATTTGATTTAGATGCAAACAAATAGTCTGAGAATTCCAGGTGCATCAAAGTGGTTTGGATGTCACCAACCACTTTGGGATTTGAGTGTCTTCACCCAGTAGGCTACGTTTAAGGCTGAGATTTTTCAGTGATATGTAAATGTGTTTAGTCTCTCTGTTGTTCCTTTTTTCCTTGTAATAGAAAGTGAAAACTAACTTACCTAGTTTTGTATTGCTAATTACACTCTTCTGAGAAAACTGGTACAGTCTATTCAATACTTATCTCGAGGCATACTCCTGTTCTCTAATTTACCTTTCTTCCTTCATCCCCCCCAAAAGGAATTGACCCAATGAAACTGGAGAGAATTCAACTTCCAGCTCAACATGCTGAGGAGAGAAATTCATATAATCATGTACTTGCAGAAGGGCTTATCAGGATAATGAATTATGCTGCACAACCAGGTATCACTTTCCCGATTATTTTTTTTTGCCAAACTGAAGTTTTTGAAGATGGGGAAAAAAAAAATGCTTCCTAGCCTCTTCTCTTTGAGGAGAAAGTGACTGTTTAGCATGCTCTTTGGTGAACAGTAAGTAGATATGGTCTGTGAAAGACAACTGTCAGCTTTTCCTTGGTTGTTGAGGAATCAGAAACTCTGGATTTCTGTTGAGTAGTTGTTTTTGTACTCCAAACTATGCAGGGATCTGTTGTCTTAATCCCTAATTTTGGTGGGTTTGAATAAACAAAAACAATGAGATGTGTAGTGATTTCAGCTTAATGTAGGATTTCATCCTGAAAATGTGATCTGTGGCACCTTTGTTTGCAAAAGTAATTCCAGTGGAGAAGTACTCTTGGAAACTATATGGTACCCTTTGCTTACAGCAGTCTTTTGTCTCTATAGGTGATAGCAAATTTTCCCATGTTTGTTTTTTTTTTTAATTGCAGATTGTATTTTCAGTTCTGAACAGTTTTGTAGAAAATGTGGGTTTTTTTTCTTGACTTCAACTTTTTTGTGAAATGAGGGATACAAGGCTCAGTGACCTATTCCATGGAAACATCATTTTTGTTCAAGCCACAGCTCTTCTTCCCCCACTTTCCCCTCTTAAAACTTCAAAGGAGTAGAACTGGTTTTCCCGTGAAACTGACGCACTATCAAATTCCTGCCTGCTGAATAAAATCTAATGCTTGTTTGACTCGCAAGAGTGATCTACAGAGCATTAACTCATTCTGCTGATGTGGCAGTCACAGGTTAAAAGCACATTTATGTAAAAAGAGTTTGTGCATACTGTAGAAGGAGAGAGTACAAGATGAGGAAATGCATTTATTTAAACAAAAACACTTCTGGGGAAGGGTGGAAATAGTAAGTTTTCATTAAGCTCACTAAATGCTGTGTAGAACATCTCATTTTTTGTTTGGAGTTACTGAGTTTTGTCTATCTTTAGGTTCTGGCGGCATAGTGCTAACTTGTAAAATAGTAGATGGAAGTTGGATCAAAAGCTAAGATGTCTGTCTCGGGTATATTGTCTTAGTATTGATTACTGAGCTCAGACTGTACATTTCTAATATATTTTTTTCTTTAAATCCTTCTGAAACTATAAGCTTAAAATCTCAATGCATTCTTTCACTGTGACTTCTCTAGATTCTCACGTCCAAGCTGTATCTGCATCCTTTGGACTTTTTTAAGGAAAAGCTAAGCATTATTAGTATGCTATATACAAAATTTCCTTTAATTTTGTAACTTTATAGCAAATATCTGTGATTCTTTTGTAATTTTAGTGTAATTCAACCTGTGCTTAGATTGATAAAGGCATTGGTTTTGGCTGCTTTTCTAATAGTAGTAATCTTTATTGCCTTCTGATCACATAGTTCTGCTTTAAATTTTCTTCTAGTTTAAATTACTCTTCCAGTTCTATTTTTTTTTTAATAGCCATCAGCATTGTAAGCCAGCATAAGTACTTATCATTGTCAGATAGGGTGTGTATGACAGAGGGGCAAAGTTTATGACAATTGCAGAGAAGAGTAGAAACATTTAAAAACATTGGGTAATGAGAAGAGCAATACTTAAACTGCTACTATTTTGTATATTGAAATTTTCTTTTCATAGATGGAAAAATCCGTTTGGCAACTTTAGAACTTGGCTGCCTCTTGCTGAAGCAACTTGTGTTTTCTAAGAATGGCAGCATCATAAAAGATGTTCACCTTGCTTGCCTTGAGGTTAGTATTTTCTTTCAAAGTACCAGTCACAGCATTACTTGTCTTTGAGTCTTGTAGTATAGTTGAATAAATTTGTTTCATTTCTGATTGCAATAAGCATAAATGTGAAATTTGAGCTTCTAGAACATCTTTCCATTGGTGGCTCTGTGCAGTGAAGGTAAAGAATCAATACCGCATGTTCTGTTCTCAGCTTTGCAGTTACTTTGCTATTTAAACTCTAACTTCTCAAGCAGGATTATGTTTAATTTACTCTCTGAAATTTGTTATGTCATCCATCTCAACAATGTCAAGAAAAGTGCTTTTGAAAGTAACAAGCTCACGTAAGCTGTTTTTTCTTAAGTGCTGTGTTCTATCAAATTGTGGGCTGAAAGCTATGAGTATGGGGATATTAATAGACAGTATCTTCTGTATGAGTTTTTGGGTGTTTTTAAATGTGAATTTTGAGTAAATAGTGTATATATTTCCTGAAACACAATTGTTTTTTCTAGGGTGCAAGGGAAGAAAGTGTTCATCTCCTTCGTCGTTTCTATAAGGTATATATACAAAATGCTGTAATAAAAAAAATCCTTTATGTAATGGTGAATTAGAAGCAAGTCTGCAGCCCAGTAGTGCCCAAGGCAGCTCATTTTTTTAAGATGGGAACTCCATAATTGTGATAGAGAAAGAAGTGTTTCCTTTCCTTTCCTGCCCTTCCTGTACCACACTGACATACGTCACAAAAAGGCTGTTAGAAGTCTCACAGGGTTAGTACTGGAGGTCAAGGTAGCAGTCATGTGCGTTTGTTCCAACTGCTATGTGTCATGGAACAGAGCCACACTATTACAACATTTCTGGGATTTTGTCATTGACACTAGTATGGAATGTGTTTCTTTTTGGCATTATTTTTTATTTGTGTCTTATCTGAAATGATGATCTAAAATTTTACTTAACCTTTTTCTCTTATTGGAGACCTCTGCAGCTTTTTGCCTTTTTTTTATATATTATAAATGATGAGAGAAATAAAATGTTTATCCTAGACATTAAGTTCTATATAAGGAACGATAAATCCATGACAGTTTTCAAGTGTCTAAAATCAATGGGCAAAACAGACCCAACTTGGCAAAAATTAACTTATTGCCAATTAAAATAAATTTAGATAGTAAGAAACAAAGACAAATTAAAACAACAACTTCCTCCCACCCCTGCCATTTTCCAGGCTCAACTTTGCTCCTTCATTCCTGATGCTTCTACCTTCTCCCCCTGCTGAGTGGTGCAGGAGGGATGGGAAAGGGGGGTTTGGGGTCAGTCCGTAACAGTTCATCTCTGATGCTTCTTCCTCCTCAGGCTTTTCCCCTGCCCCAGTCTGGGTACTCTCCTCCGTGGGCTGTAGTCCTTCAGGAAAAAAATCTGCGTCGGTGTGGGTCCTCCACAGACTGCGGTTCCTTCAGGGCATATCTGCCTGCTCTAATGCTGCAGTGTGGATATCTACTCCACCATGGTCCTCTCCATGGGCTGCAGAGGAATCTCTCTCTCTTTCTGAAACGTGTTTTCCCAGAGGTGCCATTAGTTTTGCTGAAGGGTTGGGCTGTGTCCTGCAGTGGGGCTGTTGGAGATGGCTGGAACTGGTTGTGTCCAGCACGCAGCAGCCCTGGCCTCTCCTCACAGACATCTGTGCAGACCTGCTGCCAGCACCTGGACAGGAGCACTCAGTACATAATTAAACAAAACCAAACAAGTGTGGGTCCATAGCCATAAGGATTCATGATATGTCCATGTCCTTTTTTTTTTTTTTTCTTTTTGAAAGGGAGAAGAAATTTTTCTGGATATGTTTGAAGATGAATACCGGAGTATGACGGTAAGTAACACCCGTTCTGCCCTGCCGAATCCTCAAACACAGATACAACATGGGAACAAGAACAAGTACTTATTGATAACTACTGAGAATGCTGGTATCTTTTTTTCCAGGAGCAGAATAACAAAATGTGGGTGAGGTTTTTTTTGTCTCTGAAGGGTTGTGTCTACACTTACATAAATCATTTATGTAAAATTTCACAGGTCTTTATTAAATAAAAGCCCATTACTTTCTGAAAGTGACATACAAAAATTACTTTATCCTGGGAAATGAGACTTTGGGTTAATTTTTTTTTCCTAGTTACTAAGCAATGTGAAAATCTTCCTATATGTTTCTGAAGCCCAGCAAGGTTTCAGTTTTGAGTGGTACCACTTTACTTACCAGCAGAGAACAGGGTTCTAGCGAGCAAATAGGAGAGGTACTACCTGTGCCGTGGTACCATCTGTGAAAGTTTTAAGATTACCAAACTTAATCTCAGACAGTTTGTATTTAACTTGTAAACGTGTTTTAAAACTTATTGTCTGTTTCAATTCTTAGGTTAGAATTCAGATGATAATACTTGGAGTAGTCAGTTACAGATTTTTTTTTTCCACAGTGGTACAGGGATTTAATGAACAGCCACTATTTGTCTTTTTGAAAAAGCACAATCTACAGTTGGTGTGTTGCAGTAAGTCTTTTAATATGGGAAGCATTTTGCACATATCTTACCAGCCTAAATAAGAGAAGTATTTAGTGAAACATTTAATTTTTTAGTAGTTAAGTATTACTGTACTTCTAGTTTGAGAAGTGGCACCGATACTAGCATCGTTTTTATGTTGGAAGTTTAGTATACATTTAGGTTTTTCTGTGGTATCTCTATTTCTGAGACTGCTTTTTTTTTTTTTATTTGCCTTAAAAGACAGAGCTACACCCTGGAATTTAACCTTTGTTTTCCTTAAAGCATGTTTATTTGCCTAGCTGGCAAATGGCTTGCTGGGCAGGATGATTTAAGTGCTAAGTAACATGGATGTTGTCTTGTCAGATGAGTTGTGTAAATAACATGGTATAGAGCTTCTGCAAAGGCAGAAGTATGCTTACTCTGTCTGAATGGCAAAGGAAGGAAAAAGTTCTGTCTTCATTAATGATAGATGATAACAAGTTCAGAGGAGCAATTAAATACTGTAGTCCTTAGTATTTTTACTTTCAGCAATGTTTCCTGTTTTAATATTCTTCCCCTTTATGATGTAAAATGCTGTTTAAACCAGCATACATGTGAATTGCATCTGAAGTAGTTATTTACTTGTTAGAAATTTTAGTTCTGTGTTCTCATTTGTTCTCATTGTCTATGTAGATTTTTGTATCTTCTACATACTAATTGAATTCATTAATCCAGTGTTTTAGACACTGAAGATGAGTCGTTCTGAGGTCAGAATAGTTGACTAAAGACTATTTTTAAGTTATATGTGTGCAAGGCAGCAGTTCAAGACTGCACTGTGAAAATTCTGGACCTTGATTAAGCCTGCTTCTTTTATGGTATCTGACTGTGGCAAAGTGACCAGGAATGCTTCCAGTTACAGTTGGCTGTTTTGGAATGCCCATATGACTGCATTTTTCTTCTATGCAGAGTGTTGTACAAGCTGTGGGAAGGGCTTTTGTATGCTTTAGCCATTCCAGCTGGCTTTCTGGCAAAAAGAAGCTCATGTCTCTAGTGTGTGTGTATATAATGAACTTGGATGAAATTGCCCAAAGGTACAGAAGGATAGATATTTCGGACATCATGTAGTCATGAAAATAAGTAACCATGTAAGGGAGAGACTCTCTTAGTGGCAAGATTGAAGGGAATTGTCTAGTGTGAAAGTTATTGCCTTATTAGAGAATGGAGAGTTCTTTTTGGAGAGAGAAAGATATGGGAAACTTTTCTTGTGATTGAAGTAATCACAAATTTGAGTCAACACTTAAAATCAAACCTGACAGACTTTGGTTTTTAGTACTCATAGCTTTCCTTCTTTAATCTTTCAGAGTCTTTTCCTGTGTTTTTTTCAGTGTGGAAACTTCCACAGCGTGTTAGGGAATGATGAGCAAATATAAAATAGAGATTGCATGTAAGGAGCTTAAAATAAGATGTGTGGTATTAGAAATCCTTGGAACTCTGTAACAATTCCTTCCTCTTAAAATGTGCAACCATGAGTTATATTTGCAGGTAAAGATGCAAATGCTTATTATTCTGTATAGTAATCAATGTTAAAATATTTTTTTTTTTAGATTAAACCCATGAATGTAGAGTACTTGATGATGGATGCCTCAATATTGTTGCCCCCAACGGGGACACCACTAACTGGTATTGATTTTGTGAAAAGATTGCCTTGTGGAGATGTGGAAAGAACACGAAGAGTGAGTAAGACTATTTTTCTTACATTTGTTCGTGACAGAATGATGCCAAAGGCTTTGAACAATTCTAGAAATAGAAATGTTTTTCCTTGAAAGCTGCTTGATTGGAAGCTTCATTCATAAAATCATAAAGACTTGATGAAGACAGACCTGTGTGTAAAGTATATAATATTTACTTGTCCCAGTGGAGAAGCTTTTTCTCTACAATTTCTTGTGTCCAGTCAATTCAATACGTTCTTACACTGGGGTTTTAATTTTTTAGAATATGGAGACGTACATAAAAAGGCATTTTGATGACACTCATTAATATATTGTCAGATTCCTTTTGTGATCTGGTATCTCAGTCTATCTTTCATTATATTCCTATAGTAAGAATCTCCACTGGAAGGCTGGCTGGCTTCGTGTTGCTTGTGTTTCTAGACATAGCAAAAAATATAATTCTACTCAGGAGTGCTCATCTTGCTGAAGTAATTCATGATAGAGATCTTGAGAGTGAGGAAAAAAATAGCAAAATATCTATTTTTGAGTGACACAGTCTGTAGAGGTGATGCTGACCTGAATAACAACATTAGCAGCAGCATTCTTGGGGTAATCAGTTCTGGGCCCTTATCTGGCAGTGTCCTATAAGCTTAGCAGTGCCAGTAAGTCTTAAAGATATATTACTGCATGACATCATTATTTGAAGAGTGCTGTTCTTCGGGTAGCTTTGCATTTATGTAAAGTGTATGTGTAAGTATATTCAAATATTCTTGAAGAAAAAACGTATTTCCAGGAATCTTCTGAAAACTTCTGTATTTATTACTTATTATAAGCCACACAACTTTTGTTATCACAGCAAGTTAAGTTTGATAAAGTGCAGTGAATTATCTTGAAAAGTATTGTTCTTAGAAAGCAAAAATGCTTCCTAGAATTCTCTCTGAGGCATTTTAACAGAATGATACTTAGAAATGCACGTTAATGGAAGCTGAGTGCTCCATGGTTTTTCATGTGCTAAATAAGGAATAGCTTAACTTCTGTTGGTGGAAATTCAAAAATCAATACATATTCCTGTAAATTCTTTGGGATGGAAGGGTCTTGCTCATCAGCAAGAACTCCCAGAATGCTTCCTTGTTGCTCCCCCAATCGCATTGTTCTAGAAGTTTTAGAATTTCTTAGAATTCCTATGCTACTTTCTTCCAGCTAGGCTACCTCTCTTTGGCTGAATTACCATAAAATATGCTGAACTTCAGATGTATCTTGTGATATTGCTGCTGCTGCTTAACCTGTTGGAGGTCCTTTTTGCTGACAGTTTCAAATGGGTAGTGACTCAATTCTGAGCATCGCATGGCATGATTCAAGAGAAGTTCTCAAGTTTTATTTAACTAGCAAGTGAAGAAGTCCTGTACTTTGATTATATCATGAGTTCTTAGCTGTTAGAGATCAGATCTTTTTAGGCTGTTGCTGCTTCTTTTGCTATAGAAAGTCCCTCTAAGTGGCAATTCTTCTCCTCTTAACAACTTTAGGAGGAACTCTCAGAAATTGGTTATCTATTGAGTTATCAAAGGCACATCTCCAATATCCAGACAGCCAACCCTTCTGACTTAAAACATTAAAATGACCAGAAGTTGTTAGGCTGCTTTCTGAAATTAGCTGCTACTGCTTGATCAAGCCTTCTGCCCAGAGTCAGATGTTCTTTTGAATTGTTGATAGTCCAGTTACTGCTTGTTGGTTGCATCTTTCTGATTTCTGTAGCCCTAAAGATGGTACTGCTTACTTGTTACCTAGGATAATGCAAACTCCTTTATGTGCTTATTTGGGAAGTAATGAACAGTATGGGTCTTGAACTCTGCACCTTGGAATATATAGCAAGCAAAGACTTTAAGAAATGGCTTTGAACTACCTGTGAGAACACTATTTTATGGGAAAGTAATAAGATACTGGTAGGTTGCCCTGCAAATTGCTATTTCTTTGCACATGGTATGTGTATATAAATGAAGGAATCAGGGCAAAGTATACCTCATCATAATGCATAGTTCTTTAATGTAGATAGCAATTCATTTTTGTTCTTACTTAACCAAGAAAACAGAAGTTAGCTGAAAAAAATTCTAGGCCACTACAGTTTTATTGAGGTCTAATAAAATGTTATAGGAAGTCACAAATCACATGCTATTGGGTTTATATTGATATTGCTAGCAAACTGAGGGCTATCAGTATTGTAGGAAGCACAGTGTAGTTCCCTTTATCTGATGTTCTTGATTTTTTTTTTTTTCTTGCAAAGGCTAAAGTTCTAATTTTCTTTCCTACTCCCGTAGGTTATTGTGCAGTAAATAGGATTACACGTTTAGAGATGAGTAGCATTAGTTTTATAGGCAGTGTATGTGAAGAAAACTAATGCTCTGTCTAGGAGGGAA